GGGTGCAAACTGTGAAATAATCGGCCTGATAACGTATTGTTGAACGCTTTGCTGTCACGTTTGGTTTTGAGTTTAATGTCGCATACTAAAAGCAAAATTTTAGTTTTAATTACTTATACAAAAAAGCCAATTGTTTCTTACGTGAAAGTGTGTCAAACAGCAATCAGCTTAAACGTGCAAAGGGGAACACGAATCTACAAAAAGACTACAGACTAGAGACTAGAGCAACTTTTTAATTAAAAAAAGCAGCTGCCAACAGAAATAAATATAAATACAAATTGGCGCAAGATCGAAGAAAGTCAAAAATGTTATAGTAAGTTTCTTTTTGATTTCTACACGCTACTCTTTTCCTTGCAGTTCTTTTTTTATATATATACATAATAGATTATATATATATATATATATATTTATATATGTTTTCGATGCACAGCGTATCTATTTCCATGCGCACTAGCTTGAAGGCCGAGCCCATGTGTCATCCACCTCACAGTTTGCTCTTCCTTTCACTTGTTTGTATATACCCTCATTTTGAATGTGCTGCACTTCTCGTATGAATTCTGTGACGCATAGAAGGATCTGCACCCGACCCCATAAAATGTATCTGTTCCTGTTGCTGTATCGCCAAACACAATGTCCGTCTGTTTCAGAGCAAAACAAGGCTCTTTATTCCTCTTGAAACTTTTCATATGTCCGTTTTTCTATTGCAGGCAATACATATATCGGAATCGGACGAATACGGCCACCATATAGGAACGTTTGGTACCCAATTGAGTTCTTGTATGCACAGATTTTTTTTTGCTTTTCAAGATATCTGAAGCAAGGTTTCATTAACTGCAATATGCTTTCCACATATCAGACAAATCGTAGCACCTTTCGAATACTATCTCATATTGTTACTATGGGATATATTGCTACAAGGGTGAAAGAAACCTAATTGCATTGTCATATTTCTATATTGTTAGAAAAGCTTCTGTCGACACAGCAGCTGCACTCGAGACATTGAGGTATTTCAAATATTGCAGTCTAGTTTTTCGGGTGTGTCATTTGTAACCGGGTTAAATAAAGCTCTAAGCTGTTCGTGACGCATCTTAGAAAATGTTCATTGGTTTCTGCGGAAAATGTTTGCTTTATTGTTTATTATGCAATTGGCTTCAAAATCGCTTTCAAAGAACGTTCTTTAAAGACGTGTCCATACTTTTTGTTCCTTATAACTCTTTCTTTTGTGATTGTAAACTAAAAAGGAGTTGCTTGAAATGTTTCGCACAAGATTTGTAAAATTTGTGTTGATTAGATATTCGAATGCACCGGCTAAACCCACCAAAGAAGCTTTCGCGAACTGCTCACAATTTTATTGTTAGATTCAAAAGCAGTTTAATAAGAACGTACGCCAAAACAGGATCTGTTAACTGACCCGTTTTTCAATTTCCTTACAGTATTGCGGAAGAGAAAAAAAAACTGGGAAACGACCAATACAAGGCACAGAATTATCAGAACGCACTCAAACTTTACTCAGATGCCATCTCGCTGTGTCCGGACTCGGCTGCCTACTATGGCAACCGGTCCGCCTGCTACATGATGCTGCTCAACTATAACAGCGCCCTGACGGATGCCCGACACGCCATTCGCCTCGATCCGAGCTTCGAGAAGGCATATGTGCGTGTGGCCAAATGCTGTTTGGCGCTGGGCGACATAATTGGCACCGAGCAGGCCGTGAAGACGGTTGCCGAGCTGGAGCCGCAGAGCACGGCTCTGAGCAGCGAGCAGCAGGCTGTACAGAAACTGCGCCAACTGGAAACTACAATACAGGCCAATTACGACACACAAGCCTATCGTAATGTGGTCTTCTACTTGGACAGTGCGCTCAAGCTGGCACCCGCCTGCCTCCGGTGAGTATAGGTGTCCCAGATGTGAAAGCTACCCCAAAATGGTTATATGGAGACAACTGATAATTCCATTGGTAGATATCGCTTGCTTAAGGCCGAGTGTTTAGCATATTTGGGACGATGCGATGAGGCCCTGGACATCGCCGTCGGCGTCATGAAACTGGACAACACTTCCGCTGATGCCATTTATGTGCGTGGGCTTTGTTTGTACTACACGGATAATCTGGAAAAAGGCATACTGCACTTCGAACGCGCTTTGCAGCTGGATCCCGACCATCAGAAATCTAAGCGCATGCGCAGCAAATGCAAACAGCTGAAGGAGATGAAGGAAAATGGCAATATGCTCTTTAAATCGGGACGCTATCGCGAAGCGCATGTCGTCTATACGGATGCGCTCAAAATCGACGAGCACAACAAGGATATCAATTCAAAGCTACTTTACAATCGTGCGCTCGTCAATACACGCATTGGCGCACTACGCGAGGCCGTCGTTGACTGCAATCGCGTGCTTGAGCTCAATGCTCAGTATCTGAAGGCGCTATTGCTTCGCGCCCGCTGCCACAACGATCTCGAAAAGTATGAGGAGGCGGTAGCCGACTATGAAACGGCTCTACAGCTAGAGAAGACGCCAGAGGTTAAGCGATTGCTGCGGGATGCGAAGTTTGCACTAAAGAAGTCCAAGCGTAAGGACTACTACAAGATACTGGGCGTTGCGCGCAGTGCCTCTGAGGATGAGATTAAGAAGGCATATCGCAAGAAGGCTTTGGTCCATCATCCAGACAGGCATGCTGGCAGCAGTGCAGAGGAGCGCAAGGATGAGGAGCTCAAGTTTAAGGAAGTTGGCGAAGCCTACGCGATTCTCTCGGATGTTCGCAAGAAAGCCCGCTATGACAATGGACACGACATTGAAGAGCAAGAGCAAGGTGAGTGCTTAGAATATCTTGAGCGTGTTATTGTTTATTAACTAATTGAACCCCATCCCTTTACAGCTGACTTCGATCCGAATCAAATGTTTCGTTCGTTCTTCCAATTCAGCGGCGGTCGAAATGCATCCTTCAACTTTGAGTATTAAGCCACCGCAGGACAGGCAGACACAATCTTGCCAGCCACATCATGCACAAATCGGAGTCTTTGCATTTTACACACTTACTTTAATTTGTCCCAACGCAAAACACTTAAAACCCGACATCAGCCAGTTTCAATATTTCTGGGGTTTTCCTTCTTTTTTTTTGTTAGGCGTTTCGCTTTCTCTTTTGGCATGCAAAACATAATTTAAAGGTAATAAATTGTAAAATACTAAAGCTCTTGGTTTTCAGTCTAGGCCAGTTACGTGTGCAGTTTAATAACAATTAATTGATTATTAATAACCTATGCCTTTGCCTTTTGTGTAACCAATTAAATTTGTTTTAAGCAGCCACATGTGTGTTGTTGTTTTTAAATTGAGTGCAATATCTTACAAAAAAGCCGAATCATTGTATCGAGTAACTCTTACTTGAGTTGTACTCGATGTAAAGCAAAATAGCCTAATCTGAAATACAAATTTTAATTCTTTACAATGGGCTGTTAACTTTGGATATGCTTAACAATTCAACTATTGTTTCGAAGTTTGGACGTGCTCAAATTTATCAAATTATGACTTAGTCATGCCGAAAGATTTAAGATGATATCATTAAGCCTACAAAATATAAAATTGTCAAATCGACAGAAAAAAGAAGAAACATTTTATGTACTTTATTTCAAACACAGTTGCCCACCTGGACAGGTGCAAAATAGATAAGAATTGGAAGCCTTGCCAGTACGTCTGCTCGAAGTCGAAGCCATCGAAGTCCCTCGGAGCCATAGGAAGAAATTTGCTTGGCCATTTTCTAAAAGGATTTGCGGCAGCTGTTAACAAATTTCAAATTGGACGATTGAAGAGCGACTAATGCAGATGCTTTTTGCACTTACTCTGAGTTGGCAAACATGGAAAGTGTCCCTGGAATGCCACTTCACCTCCGTTCCATACTTCTCTGATAGGGATAAGCGTTTGGAATAGAGTAGCTGGATAATCTCGCGGGAGTTGGTTGGTGTTACAAAAAAACGGTTGCTCTTATGTGTTTTGAATGGACTATTCCGAGCCTCGTGAAAATTGAATTAGATTTGAACTAGTCCCCTCTTTGGACTTTATACTGCGAAATGTCATTTGATTTTCAGAGTTTGAATCCAAACCAATTTGACTCCTTCAGCTCGTGGTCAACCATTATTGAAAGTAGTACGGAATCCTTGTAGCACAGTCGTTGACTTCTCTGTTAAGATGGAAGATACGGAAGCTGGGCAAGATTCACTCCATAGATCTCCCTAATCGTTGGTTGAATGACTTCAATCATTTAAAAACAGCCTCTTATTGTCTTTCATGTGTTAAACTAAGCTAAGATCCTAAGGAAAAGCATTAACATTCTACTTTAAAAAACAAAATCAAGAAGTATTCGTTAGTCTTATTTCCAACATGCCATTTAAGGCTAAACTTTGTTTCATGACATTTATGGAAACCAGCTGAAAGCATAAAATCAAAAAACTCCGTGATATAAATATTAACCCAAAGACAATATAAATAATAAAATAGTTTAGTATTTATATGACCTTTTAAATAATATACTATTCATATTATTCTTTGCGGAAACCTTCTGAGTAAAGCTGTGCTCAGTTTTGGAACAGTCGAAAAAGTCTTTTTGAAGAACCCGAAGAATCCAATAATGGAACTCCAAAGCGGGGAAATCAGTGAATTTCCTCATATATACACTGTAAAACGCGTTAAAGAAGTTTGAAGTTCAAATTCCCGAAACAAGCTCAAGACTTTTAAAAAAAAAAAGCAGCTCGACCAAGTTGAGTCTTTTTAGTAATTTATATGAATAATTTGTGGAGTTTTGTTGTTTTGTTTTATAAATAAATTTAATGTTTTTCATCATTTCAGTTTTTTGTTGCTTTTTGTATATATATACTTATATACATATAGGTCTACTTAAACATTATGCAAACATCATTAGGGCCTAGTAAACATGCACGCAAAATAATGTACAATAATATTACAATATTTATTTATAATAGTGTATTTTGTGTATTTGTTGGTTTGGTTTTCTGTTTTTTTTTTTTTTTTTTAACAAACTAGTGACGACGATCTGCATAGCTTAAGCTTTATACAAATTGATTCTTTCACACGGTTCTGTTTTGTTTTTTTTTTCTACATAGTTTATGTTGGTTGGTTTCAGTTGCTGTGTTGGTTGGTGTTTGTAAGTTAACGACCAGACTTAAATGACTACAAAAACAGTTTAGTTTTAAAATAAGGTACATTGATATATAACACTACTAACTATAAAACATATAGATCTGTACATGTTGGTATTTATAATAGATATACATCTATATATATATATATATGTATATACATATGTAATTTCCCCAAAGTGCTTTGATTATGCTTGAAAAAAAAAACCCAACACAGACGTGGAGTTTTGGGCTTGGACTTATTAAATTGCCAACTTTCAGCACTTTACCAGCAGCTGGCTTTGTCTTTCGTAATTTTACGCCCAACGTGGGCTTTTCTTTATCAAGTTCCTCTCCTACTGTGCCTACTGGGCCTACCGTATAAGAATAAAAAGCCCACTGGACATGGTCGGATCGTTGCTGAGAGGCCCAACATGGCAAATGCTTTTTGTGCTTCCCCCCCGCCGACGCCGGGAAAGCCTTTCTCTGATATCGTCGTAGGTGCTGTATATACACATACTAAATCCAAGTTGATGTATTTTATAAGTAATACTGAGATTCTGTCGGTTAGTTGTGGTGCTATTGTTAGTTATGCTTTAGTAGCCCGATGGAAACTGTCTCGGATGTCCATCCGATTGCTTTCCAAACCAGACCCAAATCCTGTTCATGTTCATGTTCGTACGCTGTCCTTACAGCTATCCGGTTCTAAGTAACGCTGCCCCATGTGCTTTGTACAGATGAGCCCCTTGGTTAGGCCCCGTTCAACTAAAAGTAAATTGTACTGTTTGTTTTGTTTTGTTGTTGTTGTTGTTGTTGTTGTTTTGTTTTGTTTTGTTTTGCTTTGTGTTGGTGGTTAGTTTTCTTGGCTATTTCACAGTGAAATTTCATTTTGTCTATTTGCCATGTTCCAAGCCATTTCCAAACCCGTTGCCATTCCATTCTCTGATGTAATACCCTTGCCCGTACCTAAACCTACTCGTCCCACACTCGTCCACTTCCTTGGACGTCGCTGTCACTTGGGCTGGATGCACGCCGAACGTTCCAGCTCGTTGAACTGGCCAAAGAAGAGCACCTCGCTGATTAGTTTCTCGGCGATGATGCGCTGTGTACGGTCCATGGTGCGCAGCTTCATGGACACATTGGAGCCCACAAAATCGCAATCGTCCCGGCTGAGACTCTCTGCGTACAGAGCAGCAGCTGCTGCCGCCGCGGAGCCGGCGTCCTGTGCCGAAACGCTGCTCTTGATGTGACCCGGACTGGCTGCCGATTCGGTGGCCTCATCGTTGTCCACGTCGCCGTCCGCATCGGACATGCTCTCCCTCGAACTAAGCAGCGAGCTCATGAGCATGTGCCCGGCACTCGAAGCTGCTGTCAGCTTGCGCATGTTCAGGGGCATGGAGGCAGCCGCAGCGGCTGCGGCTAACTGGGCGCTGCTGCTACGCGGGGGCAGGACAAAGGAGCCAAAGTTGGCGTGCGCCTTGGCCTGGGCCACGCGCAGATCCTGCGCCATGTCCAGATGCAGGCGGCTTTCCTCGCCGGCCGAGCTATAGGAACGATGTGAGTCTGGCGGTGCTGGAGCTGCGGACACGGACGGCGGATGAAAGTAGTCAACCAGCTCCTGCTTGATATCCAGCTCATCCGGATGCTGGCCATGGCCATGATGCTGCAGCGCATGGTGGCCATGATGCAGTTGCTCGTGCGCATGACGAGGTGTGGCCGCACGTGCTGACGCTGGACTCGACTGCAGCAGATGATTCTTGTGCGCCTCGTGCATGTTCGTATTGGTGTTGGGTATTGGACTAGACCCGGCCTCGCTCAGGGCGACTGCAACCAGCGCCTGATCACAGCCAGAACTCTCGGATGCACCGTGCGCGTTACCCAAGCCGCCGTCTTCACTGCCTCTGCCTGCGCCCATGCTGGAGGAGACCGGCGAGCGGCGTTCCACTTTCGCCGCCAGCTGCCCAAGCGCGCTCGCTGTCGCTGTCGCTGTCGCCGTCACCGTCGCCTCGTCCCTCATCGCGTTGTCTTCGTTATCCGACGTGTCGACAGTCTTGTGCGGACTGGGCTTGAACTCGCTGCTGCTGCTGCCGCCCCCGACCGTGTAGGGCGTGCCGCTGGCAGCGCCATAAGACATGGGCAGAGCAACGCGCAGCTGCTGCGGCTGAGAATTGGTTAGGCCTCCGGCTCCGCCGCCGGCGCTGCCTATCGGCGGCGAGTACTGACCCGCCGTGTTCCAGTTGTCCAGCTGTGTTTGGCTACTGGCTATCAGCATGGGTATATTCAGGCCCATCTGCAAACGAAACAAGTTAGAACAAACGAGAAGTTAGGACAAGAAGAAAAATATGGCACAAAAATCAGACGCGCTTTCATGACTGACAACCATATCAAGATAAAGCCCATGGCCCCACAACAAGGTCGATCTACATTGCTGAAGAACAAGATTATTATTACAAAAAAAAAAAAGTGATATAATAAAACTAACAAGTTCCATTTGGAGCAGACTACGATTAATTCTTTGACAGTGTTTATTCTTTGTTAAGATCAGGATTCATCGAACTGCCACAATTCCAAAAAGCTGAGTCTCTCCACAACAATCGAGTATCGTCTCCTAGGGAAATTTTCTGGAAGTTTTCTAGTGTCACAGATGTAAAATATTTAAGAGGAGCTCGAGGATTAAAATTAAAAATTCAGGGTGAATAGATTGGGAAGGAAACGAAAGGATCTTACATAAGTAAACGACAGAAGGTGAACAAAGAGGGACTCGAGGAATAAATCAGAACAGACTAGCAATAATGCAGATACAAATCAGAAAGATAGATCAGCTGGCAGTTAAAATAAGTCTGAGCAGGACAGCCTTACTTCATATCAAAGGAGCCTAAAGAGACATTCTCTTTTATGCAAACTCAATAAGAGTTAAGGACGAACAGGTAAGCCCCCATCTTGTGGATGCTCGAAGATATCTGCATCTGCTAGATACATACACATTCACACACAAAACTTTACAACAAATCTGAGCAATCAAGACAAATAATAAATATGTATGTATGTATGTATGTATGTTGGAATAGAAGAAGAAATTGTATTCAAGCATATTTAGTACAGTTTTTGTTGGTGTTGGTGCCTCAGCAGCAGCTGTCCTACGTTGCGACGATACCGCAGTTTGATTATTTGTGATGCTGTTACCGTTATTGCAATGCATAGTGCTGAGTTAATACACGTATTTAACAAGTTTATAATGCGTATTTGTGCGTATTGGGTAAATACTTTTGTTGCGATCGAACGACACGACAACGACGACAACGCAACTCACATTGTCGAAATTTTCTAGCGGCGTAGTAAGTTTTTTGAAAAGCGACAACATATCGTCACAGTCAAAGAGAGGCGAGCGCAAGCAGCAAAGAGCGCGTCAAAGAGAGCGAGAGAGAGATCTGTGCTTTTTGTTGTTGTTCTTGTTATCGCATTATCTTATGTGTGCGTGTGTGTCGAGTGGGAGAGAGCTAGATCGTATCTGCGAGCGGCGCTTAACAGTTGAAAGTCAACCCATCTTGTACGTAAAAGATGAAGAGAGAAGAAGAAGGAAAGATGAAAAGCTACACAGCAGCAGCAGCAGCAGCAGCAGTTCATTAATATTAACAACCTACCCCACGTTGGCGGGGCGCATACGACACATGCTAATGTACACCGTCATCAGTGATCGTTCGCCTCTCACTCGATTTGCCTATACTCTTTGGGGCCGGAATCGTCTTGTCTCTGGCGCCTAGAACTTTCTACAATTCACAAAAACAACTACTGAACTGCTATTCGTTATTCGTTGTTTGTGTCGCTTGCCGTTTTGCTTTGTTGTTATTTTTATTGCGGCAGCTGTTTTTGGTTGTTGTTTACGTATTTACAGCTAGCGTGCATGTGTGCGTGTCTGACTTGTTTTTGCGTGCCGCAACAGCAGACGGAGCCGCTAACAAAATTAACTCTCTCTCTCTCTCTCTCTCTCTCTCTCTCGGTGTATGCATGTATGTACATACATACACACATATACATATTGCTCATGTACGTAGGCGTGTGTGTCTGAAAATGTACTCTCACTGCATGTGTGTGCGTGTGCAACTGAAAAATGTAAACAAACTGATTATCATGCAATCCAACGAATAAATAACCGACAACAACTACGCTGCACACCGTGTTCTCTAATCCTTTTGGCACCACATATGGAGCTGTTCCACCCCCGCCCCCTCTCTCGCCAATAATATTTTTGCACAACAAGCCCGAAACTAATACACTCACATTCATAAAACTGCATCAAACTGCATCAAAGTGCATCAGTTTTGTCGCCGTCACGTCGCCAAAATGTGAATGAGCATCGCGTCATCACAGTCGTATTTTGGAAGAGTCACACTTTTTCACCAGTTCCAGTCACACTTTTTCACCAATTCCAGGGATTTTCATTCCTAATCAAAACAAAAAAAATAACAGTTTGTCCTAACTTTTGGTGACAGTTCAAACCTTCAGCCTTCAAACTTGAAGTTTCACTCTAAGACGAAATTCCACCCGCAAGTGTGGAAAAATCGCGTAAAACGAATATCTGAACCTTTTTTGTTTACCATCCGATCGACTTCAAATTCATCTTCAAATATATTTGTGAAAATTTAATTGTTTAGGGTGGAAATACGTCTGAATTGGCTATTTTTTTCGGTAGAAGAACTTTGCAATTAAAGAAGACTGATCTCTTACAATATATATATTATAAATTAGTCAGGAGATGAGACGACTTCGACCCCGTAGCGTATATATCTATGTATATGCTTGATCAGTAGCCGCTTCGATAGAACCTTGTTAGTCGATTTCTATGCAAATAAGAATCAAGACTCTATAGTTCTATAGTTCTTTATAATATATGTACCTAGCTGTCATAGGTCATAGCTGAATAGGAGAGGAAAGACTGATGTACAGGAGAAGTTAGAGGACTAGTTGCCTGCCTTCTGGGGACACCACCTGGCGAAGCAGCCTTAACTTGACTTTACGTTGAAAACAGTTCCAAAAATGTTTATAGAGGCCATTTACCTTTCGGCGTGCCAAAGATATTTGTGTTGTTTGTTGAACCAATTGATTAAATGGGTTTCACACCTATTATCAGTCCATGCTGGCAAACAGACTCTTACCCGAAGTTATTTATAATCGCGCTCTTAAGTTCCGTGAAAAGACACCCTTTCAAGCAAATGCTACAAAATAGTGAAAATTCTTGCAAAACTTTTGCGAAAACAAACCGCCAATGTGAACCTTACCCCACCGTCAAAGTCGATTTTCAGCCAAGCTGGCAACGCTGCGCGCATAGCTAAGCAACTTTGCGATGAATGAGTAAACAAAACCGAACGCTGGCGTCGCAGTCGCAGTCATCGTCGCAGTCGCAGTCGCAGTCTGCTGCGCTGCTTTCGGTTGCATTGCTTACTGCTGCTGCTGCTGCTGCTGCTGCTGCTGCTGCTGCTGCTTCGGCAACTGCTTCTTATTTGCGTTTGCACTGCAAACGGCTGAAGGGGGGGTGGCGGGTGGGGGGTGGCACCAGGCATTTCATAAAAGCGCATGCGAGAGAAAACAAAACACGCAAATTACAAATACAGCAACAACAGTTGCGACTGCTCCGGCTACAGGAACAATAGGAAACAGGCGTGCATTTTATAAAACACAAACAAACTGAACGAGGAGGAGGGGGGGGGGGGGGGGGGATTAGCTAGAGGAATATGAAATTTGAGGGGCATGGCAACGGTATCGAAACGCAGTCAACGCAGCTCCGAGTCGACGTCGGCGTCGCCGCTTGGCATAGCCACAACATTGCGGCCGCGAGTCGCAGCAACAACAACAAGGTAAACATATTGTTGTTATTTGGTGTCTTGGAGAAAATTCCACAACAAAACAGTTGTAAAATATGGGCACACACACATACATACAAACGCTTTGGGGGTGGCATAGTGGGCGTGGGCGGCACCGCTGCACGCCCAAATAATGACAAACAACAACAACAACTCGGCCATGAGAAGACAGTAAAAAGTGCAGGTGTGATAAGTTCGAGGAGAATGCAATTTTATGTTATCCCCTGGAAAAATAGACAAATACATATATGCATGCATGCATGCATGCATGCATGTATATATGTATGTGTGTCTTCGTAATAATAATAACGTGCAGAGTATCTGGACAAGTTACTTGCATTAGCATTGCCACGCCCACACACTCTGGCCACATCGAATGCTTACGAAGAACAAAACTGTATTTATTTTTTAGAAATAACAGCAAAGAGCAAATGAAAACAGAAGCAACTACAACAACAATAATGCTGCATGCTCGCAGTTTGTTTTGATAACTCTGACAAACAGAACAGAAACAGCAAACAGCAAACAGCAAACAGCAAAAACAACAACGGCGGCAACAGTACATACTACAAAACAAATGAAAAGCACAGGCCCAAGTAAAAATAAAAACAAAAGCGCACAAGGAAAATGAACAGCAAACGAATTACAATCAACACACACATATACAAATGTTTTTATATGTATGTATATACGCACGCACACACATTCATGCACGAGTGGAGGGGGGAGGCCACGGGGCAACCACAAACCAAAACAACAGAACAACGACGGCAAGTGCTACGCGCATTTTGCCGTGCAAAACAAACATTTCATCAGACGAAAAACAGAGCATGTGAGCGAGCAGCGACAGCGGCGACGAAATGTCAGCAGCGCTCGTTCCCCTCGTTCCCCTCAGCCACAGCGTCAACGAAAGCTTGCTTGCTTGGCGCGACAAAGCAAATACATAAAAACAACTCACGCACACAGTGCACATTATTCCAATACATACATACATGCATACATGCATATGCACAGATTCTCGCGTAAGTCAGGGCAATACCTCACGCACACAGCGGCAAGTTCCTAAGAAAAATTTATGCGTAAAATTTTAATTCTGTTTTGATCGTCAACAACAGAACACATGCACACACACACACACACACAAAACGATCCGGACAATAATTGCGAGAGCGACAGGAGAGGCAAATGCTGCTGCTGCACTCTCCCTCTCTTTCTCTCGCGCTGTCGCCAGCAGAAACAGCAAGTCACTTGCGCACATGGCGTTTCATTTGACTCTCAGTCAGCGTATTCAGCACAGTTAACTTTGCGCCTTTGATTGAAATTAACACCCGAATGACAACGAGAGTGAATGTGTTTGTGTGTCTGTGTGCGTCTGCTGCAAAACTATCGTAAGGGGTTCCACCTGAGAATGGCCTCATTATAGTATTTTTTAATATTTACATAAAAGTTATCAAGTTTGTTTTTTTGGAAAAAAGTTAAAAATATTTTAAAATCTGTGCACACACACACACACACACACATATGCAAATAATATATTGTATAAGCATACGAATCTTGAGAATTTAATCCTCAGCTATGTAAAGCTCAATAATCATGATTGAGCTGAGCAGAAGATAATACTATTCTAAAAATTCGTTTATGTGAAAGTCATTTTGCTGCTGAGACAGAACGAACACGCGACGTGGGGCACAAATGGGTTAAAGGTCCGCTTGGCTAGTCAATGGTCGTCGCTCTCCGCTCTCCGTTCTGTTGTTTGTTTGTCACTGTTTGGGTCTTTGTCATTGGAAGAAACGCTTACGCATGCGGTTATTTTTTGCGCCGATTACTCACCGCTCCGAAATATTTCAGCTCTTTGGTTTTGATGCGTCTGTGCTGCGATGCAGGCGCTCCAGTTGTGGTTGTCGCGGCACCACCAGCACATCCAATCGGCCCGGTGGCTCCGCCGTTGGCCGCTGCCGCGATTGTGCTGCTGTCGTAGGCAGCGGCGGCGACTGCGGCAGCGGCCAGGCCATTGAGTCCGTTGTGCGTGTGGCTGGCTGAGTTGGAGGAGGTGGAGTTGGTGGCTATGCCGCCAACTGTGGCGCTGGTGGGCAATCCGCTGAGGCTGCCGCCGCCGGCTTCCATGAAGTCGAAGCGCTTGAAGGCATACCACTTGGACGGATTGGGTTGTATGCCCTGATAGATTTTGACAAACATCTTGTGCTTCTCGCGTCGGTACTGGGTGAGCAGTACGTTCATTTTGCGCTCCACCTCGGCCTTGCTGCAGCCAAAGCGATCGGCGATCTCGGACCATGCCCGGAAGCGGCACAGCTTATCCTTGTACTTGGGATCGGCGCGATTCCACAGTTCGGTGTGGCAGCGATACTGTTCGATAAGCTCTAATGCATCGTCGTTGGTCCATTCCATGATTTTAGGTGAACTGCTCCCACCGCCGCTGCTCCGCCTGGCGCCGCCTGACCCGATGGCGATCTCGATCCCCACCGCGACCTCCGATTGGCTTCCGTAGTTCGCCGGCAATGGGATGTGGTGTCGCTCCCGCTGATGGTATGGATGATGCACGTTTTGGACGGTCACAAAGCTATCCGGATTGAAGTTCATTTGCTTCTCCGCGCAAATCTCTCTCTTTTGCTTCGCTCCACTCTACACTCCTTACTCTCCACTTTCCACTCTCCACTCTCCACTCTCCGCTAGCTGCTTTCTCGTTGGCGGGTGGATTCGTTTCCTCGATCGATGAGGTTTTATTTTGTTCCTGGAATCTCAGTTCTTTTTCTTTCTCCTGATCTATTTGTTTAGGGAATGCTACGCGAAATGCATTCAATCAACATTTTATCACCTGGCTTTTGGTCATACTCTCGCGCCACTGCAAATCGAGGAAAACAATTACAATTTAGTAATTAATTTGATAAAATCTCTTAATTCTATGTTAATCACAAATAGCTGCCCGAAAGAAAGATACAAAAAAAAAAAAGATAATCTTAATCTAAGATTTTTTCCAGATGCTTTCTATATCTTTTGTCCGACCTATCCCATTTGATCTGTACCGAAACAATTCTTATATGTCCTGTTTTTAGTAAAGTAAAATCCTGATTGGCATCGAACTGCTCTCTTTGATTAATCGAAGAATCATTTAGTTAATCACTTTAACTAGTCAGCGTCTAAAGTTTCTATTAACCACACAAATTCGTTTAAATTGATTAAGTTTTATACAATATCACGATCATGAGAATGAAATAAGTTCTATATAAAATCACGCCTGAAATCGACCTCAAATGAACTGCCAATAGAATACCCTGTAACCCGACCAGAACGTCCTGATACACACTTATCTCTTCAAATTTGTCAAAATATGTCATTATCGATAACAACAAGCATTACAGGGTATTTTATAGGTTAAATGCAAAATAGTTTATTTCCATTAATTTTCTTTTGTCGAAAATTGTCGCAGATATGAATTATTGACAAACTGTCTAAACACTTTAACTGACCCATGAATATAGCATGACCCCCTGACCACAATAGCGCCCCAATCGAACACGGCGTACAAGCAGACGAATAATGCACGAAACCTATATACTCTTTTTATTCGCTTTGTGAACAGGGTATAAAATGCATCATCTACATATTTAAAAAACTGTTTGTTTAGTATAAAATGTTATTGCTTTTTGAGAACAGATCGAAAACGAAACTCTTTCTTGATTCGGACATAAGTTTCATCCTTGACTCGAAACAAAAACCTTCCTGTGATCCTTATTGAAGCTCGTGGACACAATGTATTCACAATCTTATGGGCTACTCATTGTTAGACTAGCTAATCGCACATATTAAACGATTGTTCGTTGTTTTTCGCGTCGTTCAATATTCAAGCACACTTTGTGTCCGGCGTAAATGAGGAACCGTTCGTTCGCTTTTCCTGGCCATGAATTAACATTTGTCGAAAGAAATTCTCTTGGCATGTAAACGTTTGTGCAAATGTCACAAGTCACAGCGAAAATAACAACATCGATAACAGTCCAGTTATTCACAATAGACGGAAGCTTTTTACACACACGCACACACATGCACATGCTCGCACTCACACACGGACATAATTAAGCAGGGACACGTGCGCTTTCATACAACAGCACTGCGCGGCGGGCTATTTACACACACACACACACACACACACATGCATATACATATGCTGTAAGTGTGCATGCATGTATGTGTGCGACATCTCGATTTGACATCTATCTTTGTCGCCCGATTTGCTTCCTGGTAAGTTGTTCGTTCGCTCGTTCGGCGTCGCGACTGTTCGCTTGATTATTTAGCTTAGCACGCATTGCATTTAATAAATGCCTTAGTATATGTATTAATGCCTTTGCTCAGAACATTTGCGCAGAGCGCAAATGCTGCTGCGCAAACAGCTGGATGAATCATAACGGTAAGCGAGTACACAAAGACACACACACAGGGGAAAAACACTGTAAATGGAAGTTGCACGGTTTTTTTTTTTTTGGTTTGTTGCAATATTCACTTGGATCTGCATTTGATTTTGTTGATTCAGCGTTCAATTAATTTAAAAACGTTCACTTTATGTTGTTTTTTTCAGTGCACTTCGGGTACATTTTTTTTGGCGATTTTAAACATTTGCTCATACATTTTTTTCAGTGTTTTTGAAGGTAGCATAGTTTTATGGGATTTTGTGCAAATTGCACGGATTTCTAGGGTTTTTTTCTTTTGTGCCATTGGATTTTCCAGAAATTAATTAGCTTGCATGTTTGTTGATTTCCAAGTAAATCAGTTGATTTAAATCTGATTGGGATTTTTTTACTTAGAAACTTTTTATTGCAATTCAACTTTCCACACTCAATTCAAGTATTAGACTTGATTTATGACGTCTTTTTTTTATTAAACATAATTAACTTCGCTTTATTGCTTAATTGCAAAGAAATTTCCTACAAAATACTCGATTTTACAACCAGAAACATTTTGTTGGACACAAAGTACTCGATCAAAGGAATCGAGAGTTAAGAGTGATCATACATGTATGACGTATGTATGTTAAAACCCGGTATGATAATAGACACATGATATTATGAGACAAACGTTTTTTTTTGTCTGCCTTCGCACTTGTGTCATTTTCAAAAATCAAGAAAATAGTCAAACAACGCAAAAAGTAAACAACAAAAAATCGGATCAAAAACTTAAAAATAAATTTCAAGGCACGTAAAAAACAAACTGTAAACACTCGAACGTACACAGCGAGAGATAGTGTATTAAATATATATATATATATATGTATTAAAATATATGTTAAGTGCGTTAAAATATTTAAAGCGTAGTTTGCATGTGCGTACATTTTATTTTACATTTCAGAATTTGTTGGATTTTATTAACATTCCATTCTCGAAAACTACATATTAGAGCCGTTTCTTCATCGGCATATGTATTTGTTTTTCCTTTATTTGTTCAGCAAACACACAACAACAACAATAACAACAACAACAGCACGAAGAATGAGAACAACAGGCAGATTGCTGCTGCTGTTAATGGCACCTCGCCTCCCCCGCACTTGTTATTCAGAAGCAGCGCGATGTTACCGTTACCGCTAGTTTCTTCTGCGCGCCTAAATCGCACTCTCTCTCTCTCTCTGTCGCTCTGTCGCTCTCTGATACAACCGCTCGCGAACCACACCAGCTAACGTCTGAATCTAAACTGTGCGTCGCTTTTTCCCGACAAACACTGACAAACTTATCGAAATCGATTTGTAACGAACCTACAAATGCGACGACTGCGACGCGTCGTTGGCTGGGCTGCGTATTGAAATGAAATTTCTCGGTGGACGTTTGAATGAAACAAGCACAACGTACGCACACATACACACACATATAGCGCATACACATACGCACGCATACATACGTATATGTGTGCACAGAGAACAGACAGCGCCACCACTGCGCTGTTGACGTCTGCAGCGGCAGAGCCGCCACGTTCGGTAAACAGTTGTTTCGTGGAAAAACAAGCCGAACATCATAATGAAGTTGCTGTTGTGAAATTGTACGGTGCTTTGTCATGCTTAAAAAACAACAGCAACAGAGTACGCGCCAAAACACAAAAACGAGGGCAGCTATACATGTATGTGAGTGCGTTCCACAAATAATCAACAGTAATCATGACAAGCATGCGAGTCTACATACTTATATATATTTATATTATATTTAGTACAATAGTTTATAAATAAATATATGAGTTTTAACATTGTGAATGTCCAGTATGAGAGCATGTTTCAATGCCCATTTAACAGCCCTCGCACGAACGCTAGTTGCTTCTTGGCACCAACACATGCGCAGCGAGTCAAACAAACAAATAGAATGCGAAGCAGAAATGGCAAAAAATTAAACAAACAAGTAGACAGGAGCGGTTCAGGTTTGGACCCAGTCGATAGAGCAGCGGGTGGCGGCTGTTGCGAGGTCGAGTTGAACGAACGAGGGCAGAAAATAACGCTACAATAAATACATCTAAAAATTTCTACTACGGCGTAGTAAAATTTCTATAGGTTGATAGAATTTTGCCTCAATCTGCCATTGCTTAGATATGTATTTGTTTTTGTTTAATTTTGTTTGCTCGTTAGCTGAGTGGGGACGTATGGGTCGGCGGGGGAGGTTGGGCAGTTGGGTGTATGGTTCGCTGTGCCAGGCAGGTGCTGCGCTACTCTTCCTATCGCCCATTTATATATGTATGCAGCTGCTTTCTCACTCGCACCCATCGTAGCCCAATGTATGTTTGTTTGTTTTTCGTGCCGTGTTTTATTGTTGGTGCTTTTGTTGTTGCTTGGTGCGTAGTTTTTACGTTCGTCATCGTTGGTTTGGTATTTCCGTCTTCTGCTAACGCTGCTGACGCTGACTTATATACGCTTGTATGTATGTATGTATACATATTTAGATATCTTATTGTGTAAGGATGAATGTACATCAATATAACATATGTACACACATACATGCGTAAGTGTATGCAATTTTGGTACACACACATGCATATGGACATACTTACATACATATATACTACATATGCACGTACACGCAAATAAACATATGAATGTATGCATGTGCATACACTTGCTCGCCTTGAGTGCCGCTGTCAGAGTATTTTGCAGTTGTTATTCTGCAAACAAAATGTATTTGTATGCACATGCATACATACATACATACACACATGTACGTACATTTGTATATCATATAAATTGTTATTGCTTGCGTTAGTCTCAGCGGCAGCTGTTTTGTTTTTGTAGCCTGCGGCGCTGCTCACAGTCACCGCCGTTGCCAAAGTGCATTGCGTTTTCACTCTTTGCGTGGGCGGTGCAAAAGCTACTGTTCTTCTTCATTTAAGTGCTCACTCTCTCTCTCTCTCTCTCTCGTGCGCAGGTCTCACGTGCGGCTAGGCAACAACAGCAGGAGCGACAGAACTTCATTGCGCTTTCTTTCTTCTGCTTGTATTCGCTTTCATTGCAATTCCGTTAATGGTGCATAACTATCGTTTGCCGAAAGTTTCGTGATTTGCTTTGATTAACTGTAACAGAAAACTTTTGCGGCACTTGTCTTGGAGAAAAGCACATTCATACATATGTACTTGGATACAGAAGGGGGCAATGTAAATACAAACTTATATGCGTCTTTATACCCTGTACCCTTTGAATACATAGACATCTCTAAGCTCATAGAGTATACATATATATTCTTGATCTGCAAGCGTTTTCGGGATGTGCTAGCTTTATCAATACAATAATTGTGTGCTTTGTTTATGAATCAATTTACGTACAAATTGATGTAACAGGACTTGAACCGGGCAACGCCGGATAACAGGAATTCGAAATGCTAATTAGTACAAATTCGATTGCTATAAATACGAAGCTTTTGCTTGTGGACTCTGCAAGTTAACGGTAAAGAAAGCTGATGGCCTAGTTGTAATTAAAACGTATGGTGGGTGGCTGTGGGCCGAGTTATGTTTGATAAGGACGAAACTTCCCCTCGACCGTTTATGATGCGGCAAACAAACACTTGTTTGCACAGCAGCGCAAACAAAGAGAGACGGAGAGAGCGAGAGAGAGAAAGAGAGCGAACGCAACTGCCATGCTGTAATGTACTCTGTAGTTTTGTGTGTGTGTGTGCATGTGTATTTGTGAGAGTCGGTGGAAGCAATTGCAACTAGGAAGCAATAGCAACGTGTGCGACGTGAGCAGCGCAGTCGCTGCTTGTTTACTTCGTGCGTGCGTGGGCGCGGACGTGAGACTAAGAGAAATTAAGTCGTGTGGGCGGCAAAGAGACCTGACCCGAGCAATAACCAAGTCAGCCCAATCCCCCAGCACAGACGCCAGCAGCGATGCTAACGCCGACGTCAACGTCGCTGAAGGTCATTATGCCGACGCTGGCGTCGCTGCTTCTTTTGAGCTTTTCGCGCTGCCTGCTTTTTTATTGTTGGACTTCGGTTGTGGAATTGTGTAAACATCAGTGGCAGCGACGACAAAAACAAAGGCAACGCTGCCATTCCAAGTAAACAACAAGGTTTTTTTTTTGCGCCAACGCCAGCCCCTGGCAGAGGCAATGCAAGAAAGTTGAGCCGTGGAAGGGGGAGGTGTCCGTAGGAGACAGCAGCAGGGCAGAGCGAGACAAAAGCAAGGCGACCAGACAGACGAAAGCAGGGCTAATGAAGATGAGCCCCATGTGCTGTTTCGTTGTTATTGTTGTTTACTTTTTGCCGATGGTCGCTTTTGTTGCTGAGCTACAAAAATATGCAAAAACGACAACAACAACAACAACAACAACGAAGAAATATGCAAGGCAGCCAATACGCAAATAGAAGCAATGAACTTAATTATTTGCTGCTGTTGTCGCACAGCTTAGCGAAAGGGAAGGTGAGAGAGATAAATACAATGTGCTATGTATGTATGCATGCATGTATGTATATGTACATTCATGAATGTATATATCAATTTATGTGTATGTGTGCTTAACAGTACGTACTCAAGTGTATTAACATACTTAATTGCTTAATTACATACATGAGAATATGCGTGCACACATGCATACATACATACATACATCCTCTCAAAACTGTTCATGCATACATGCATATGTATGCATGCAGACGTAGGATATTTGTACATATTCGTGCATGCGTGTGTGTGTGTGCGAATATGCAGTGCGCGGACTACGAGTCCGTATTTTAACAATTGGCGCAGGCGTATAAAAAACTTGTTAGAAGCGTTTCGTTGCAACCTACATACATACATACATACATGCATACACACATACATACATACATACATACATGCTTGCATGCATTCATATATAATTACAACTCATCATCAAGCTTTCGCACTATCGGAAACCATAAGGAGGTAGAGACTTTACGATTTCTTTTCTCTCTCTCTCTCTCTCTCTCTCTCTCTTTCACACTCTCTTTCTCTCTCTCTCCAAAACCGTTCTGTTCCGTGCACCAAATTCTGTTTCATGTCTCGAGATTTTCGTAGTTTATTACTGTTACTTACAGTTAGCACCTGGCGTTGCACAGCTTAAATAAATAGTTATTTGTAAAAGATATTGAAATTGCAAACTCAATGCTGTTTATTTATAAATTTTATTTGAGCTCCTTTAACTACGACTGAACAATACTCCTTAATGATTCTTTATGCTGCTTCAGAGTCCTGTAAAAGCTTAAAGCATACGACCCGTCGAATTTCGCACCGACTTCGATTTTGAAAAAAATCGTGTTGATTTGGAAGGTCATATCTCCGCGCGGAGTTATGTCGTTTTGGAACGTCATATCTCCATCGAAAAAGTTTCGATTTTCGCACCGACCTCGATATTGAAAAAAAAGTGATGATTTGGAAGGTCATATCATATCCGCGGGGAGTTATGTCGTTTTGGAACGTCATATCTCCGCGCGGAAAAATCATCGAAAAAGTTTCGATTTTCGCACCGACCTCGATTTTGAAAAAAATCGTGATGATTTGGAAGATCATATCTCCGCGCGGAGTTATGTCGTTTTGGAACGTCATATCTCCGCGCGGAGTTATGTCGTTTTGGAACGTCATATCTCCGCGCGGAGTTATGTCGTTTTGGAACGTCATATCTCCGCGCGGAGTTATGTCGTTTTGGAACGTCATATCTCCGCGCGGAGTTATGTCGTTTTGGAACGTCATATCTCCCGCCCGGAAAATCATCGAAAAAGTTTTGACTTTCGCACCAACCTCGATTTTGAAAAAAATCGTGATGATTTGGAAGGTCATATCTCCGCGCGGAGTTATGTCGTATTGGAACGTCATATCTCCATCGAAAAAGTTTCGATTTTCGCACCGGCCTCGATTTTGAAAAAAATCGTGATGATTTGGAAGGTCATATCTCCGCGCGGAGTTATGTCGTTTTGGAACGTCATATCTCCGCGCGGAGTTATGTCGTCTTGGAACGTCATATCTCCGCGCGGAGTTATGTCGTTTTGGAACGTCATATCTCCGCGCGGAAAAATCATCGTAAAAGTTTCGATTTTCGCACCGACCTCGATTTTGAAAAAAATCGTGATGATTTGGAAGGTCATATCTCCGCGCGGAGTTATGTCGTTTTGGAACGTCATATCTCCCGCCCGGAAAAATCATCGAAAAAGTTTCGACTTTCGCAGCGACCTCGATTTTCAAAAAAAAAACGTGATGATTTGGAAGGTCATATCATATCAGCGGGGAGTTATGTCGTTTTGGAACGTCATATCT